GACACCTCACTCATCAGCTGCTTGTTCACTCCAACATCAAAGCCTGTCAAGAACAATAAGGCAGTTTCAGAGGTGGAGAAAGACTCTTACAGTCGAAGAGCATTAATTTATCTTGTATAAAATATTATGACACAAGCACCACTCACCAACTTTTATGGCATAACTGATCAGCTCTTGCACCTTGAACTGATCATGGAAAATTAGACAATGATGTTAGTAACCAAAAATGATGTCAAACAGAAGTTGGGAGCAACTGCAGGGAAATGGACAGTACCTGTATCGTCCTGGCTTCAACAAGGTCGCCTTTCTCAAACGCTGATATGAGCTTGTTGACATGACATCCCATGTAGTTATATGTGCTGCAGGTAGTGCAATTAAAAGCATTTTACATAACTGTTAAACTGTTAAACTGAAAGGAGACATAGCATTTCACAGGTACACACACTGACCTGCCAACTGCTCCGTGGGCTCCCAGAACCAGAGCTGCGAGCAGTTGCTATGGAACAAATGAAGAAATTTTGTTTTAGGCAGGCTCTGTGGTGGAGGACAGAGTCACAAAATGTCATCTTGTAATGTAAGCACAGAACAGATGGACCAAAGATGATGGTGAGGAAGAAACAGCTGACCTCGTCCAAGCCGTAGAGGAAGGACCAGTCAGGCTGACTGTTGCTGACACACTGACCAAAGTCCATCAGGTCTGTCCCACTGAACTTCACACCTCTGAAGGAGGGAATGAGCTCCTTAATACCTTCCAACAAATCTCTTACTGGCACTGAAGAGAAAAAAAAGACCATTTCAGATTCAGTATGCCATCAGTAAAGATGGTCTGACATTCAATATGCTTTTACCATGGCTAGAGATGCAAAGTCTTATTTCTAAATGGTGTGTGACAGCAAAATCAATCAGCAATGGCACTAACCATTAACACCAGTGAGAGCTGGAAGATGATAATAATAGAAGGGCAGAGTTGGGGCAACTGAAGCCACTTCCTTAAGGTACGACCTCAAGACATCTGAAGCAGGATGAGAGAGAGAGAGAGAAAGAAATGTGGACAATTTACATCATGGAAATAAGTCATTTTGTTTTGGTTGTACTTTCCAACTGAGCTTCATCAGTACAGTATTGACACATGAATGAAAAGTGAGAATGGACGTTTGATGATTACGCATTT